AACCCATTAAATATATATAAAGGAACCCATATAGTGTAGAGCCATAGAGCCAGCTTTTTTGGCAGGCGTGCCACAAATTAACCTCATACCCACCCTGAGTGCTACTCTGTTCTCATTCCCCTGCCCTATCTGCTGCTCTGCTTTCTGTTCCCAGCACAGTGCTCTCTGCCTGATTTGCTGTTCTGCTTTCTGCTCCCTGCCACTGTGCTGCCTGTCCCGTCCCCACACCCTGCTTGATCTGCTGTGTGCCACAGGTTGGCCACCCCTGGTGTCAAGTATAGATTAGGGACTTAGGTTAGAAATATGGTCAAGAAAATCAGGTTTATCAGTGAAAAGCACAAAGGCTCGGATATGATAACTGCTGGACTTAATGATCTCGTGAGGTCCCTTCCAGCTCCTAACTTCTATGAATCTATGAACTGTTGGCATGGACCGGTTGGTCTGAAGAAAAGTAACCCTGCAGATATTCAAGTGAAGGATTAAACTTGGAAGGCAGGAATAGTGAGCAAGACCTAACAGCAATAGTTAATAGCAAATCAGGTAATAGTTTGCAATTCAAGCGGGCACCTGCTCAGATAAGATGCTCTGGCCTTCAGCTCTGTGCAAATCAGATTGGGGTCCTGCAGCTCCAGGAGGTGTACAAACACTGACTGAGCTCTGTTTCTGCCCTGAAGAGCTTGCTATCCCTACAGACAAGAGAGATAAAAGGTGAATTATTTTACAGGAAGCACTTGAGATTGAACAAAGTGCTCAAGGTCACATAGGGAAGCTGCAACAGAGCCAGAAGCTGAGATCTAAGCCAGCGTCTCCCATACAATGTTATTTGTTCTTTCTGATTCCCAACTGTCTTTGCCTAAAGCAGTATTAGGTCCAATTTGGACTTCCTTTCCTGGGTCTTCTGGCCAGATTGGCAATAGGAACTCCGGTGACCTGACTTATACGTAAAAGGGTCCCTTAGAGGGAAGCCATCTGTGTCTCCTCTCCCTTTGATTTGAGCTAAATTCAGAGATGCTTTGTCATTCAAATCACCTAAGGGCTGTGGAAGAGGTGGACATGAATTTCCTTGGGAAGGGGAGGTGGTGGTTTAGCATGACGGTGATTTTTAGACACCCAGTTTTTCAAGCTTATATGCATACACCATCCCAGTCAGAAGCAAGTAGTCGCCCAATCCAAAGAAATTGTGCATTTATTCCCCACATTTGCTCAAATCCCTCTTTGTCTCCATATACCCAACCTATCATTAGGGAAATTGGTTTATCTGTTGCCTTGCGCAAGTCTGCTAAGTACATTTCCTTCCTGCCATTTGCTCCCTCCCTTGTTTTCTGGGCAACAAGAAGCAGAAATGCAAATAAATCTGATTCCATGTTCTCCCGGTAACAGTTGTCTGTACCAGCAAGTCCATCACCCCTCCTCTGTCTGTAACCACGTGTCCATTTTGGCTAGGATTCTGTCTCTAAGCATCAGGTCTTAGTCCTCTTATCCATCCAGGAGTGGACTGCAGCCACTTCTGGGGTGGTGTACGGCAGCCGCTAGACAGCACGGTTATAGGACAGGAACTAAAGGAAAACCACTCAAACAATTGAAACTGCACGGGGTAGAGTTTAAGCGACCATGCAATTGGTCAGGGTTGAGCAGTCCTGCCAGGAGAAATATCACTCGCACACAGCTGAGAATCCTGCCGGCCTTTGCAGGTACCACGGAAGTGATTCCCATGTCAGAAGAAAGCATGACTTACCCACCAATTGTGCTTGGAAAAGTGGCTGTAAAATAACAGGCTACAGACATGCCCCCTACCCACGCTTTCTCTCCCCTCTATAGCCCTGACAGGTCCTACCTTTTCCCCTCTCAAGACAACCAGCAAGCATTCCTTGCAAAATCCTCTTCAACCTCCGGGGGCACGTCTACACATGCACTTTAATGCACATTAGCCTATTTTAATGCGCATTAAGGAGTCACAAAAAACCCATGTGCTTTTGCTACTGCACACTAAAATGGCAAATGAACCCTTTTCTAGTACCTCACAATGGAGGTACTAAATTTAATGCACATTAGCAAAAGCACGTGGATGAATATGTAGATGCACCCAGGAACTGTTAGAGCCTCTCAGTGTCCCTCAGCTTTATTCCCATGCCAAGGGCCTTTGGGACTCCAGGTCTCCTTTTAGTATTATCTGCAGGCCAAATCTGCACTACCAAGTCCTTAAATGCTGCAGTCTGCAAGTGGGATAGAAACAGTGGGAGAAGCCCTGGTCCAACCCAGATCACTCTCCCTCTCAGCATCTGTTCCCTGCCCCTGTGACACAGGAGACCAGGCAAGATGGACTCAGGCTCGGACCCAGTCAATGGCAGTTTTTATGTTTTTATGGTCTAACGCCACTTAGAGGGGACAGATATAACAATACCAGCAAACCCCTGGACACTGCTCTCTTGGTAGAAGATGGTTTGATGCTCATAGGAAAGTAGGGTTGGAAGGGACCTCACAAGATCACATCTAGTCCGGGCCCCGGCTCAAGACAGGATGAGCCCGGACTCAACCGCCCCGGCTCAGCGTCTGTCCAACCTGCTCTTGAAAACTTCCAAGGATGGAGATATGCCACAGTTTTTCCGGGCAGCCTGTTCCAATGTTTGACCACCCTCAGAGTCAGAAAGGTCCTCCTCATCCCCGACCTCAAGTTCCTTTGCTGCAGCTTGAGGCCGTTGCTCCTAGTCCTGTCCCTTATGGACCCAAATTAAAGCCCATCTCCACTGCCTCTGTAATCGCCCTTCAAATCCCCTCTCAGCCTTCTCTTCTCTGGACTCAGTAGCCCTAGTTCCTCATCCCAGGCCGTGGTCACTTTTCCAGCATAGCTACAGCAGTATAGCGCGGCCTTCAGCCTTGGGAAGAGCCCCCCGTTCCAGCCTGGCAGGAGCCCAGCCACTGTCATCTAGACTCCTTTGAAGCTGCGCATCAGAGACGGACTTATCTGTGTCAGTCTTTTCTGTATTCTCCTCAAGTCTTTAACAGCCACTTTACTGCCTCCCTGGATTTCGCTCTAGGCATCCAAGCAACCAGCAATATCGGCCTGGCCAGAGATGGAGTTACACATCATCTGCATAAGGGATAATCCAGTCACTTCTGTTATGGGCAAGGGCTGCAGGCAGGAGAAAGTGCAGACACCTTGTTGGAGGCGAGACGATAGCATTGCCACCTCTCAGGGTTTTACTGGGAGCCTGGTGGTTTTGTTAAAGCCCTTGGCTGCTGGAGGGATGTAAAGGAGAAGAGGTTTCAAATCCTCCTGATTGCAGAGAAAAGCTGGGAGAGGGACATCACCAGTCCCTAAAAGGATCAGGAAGCAGAAAGGGGCACGGTGACAAGGACCCCCGTGATGTTCAGTGCGGTCTCATGAGTCCAGGACCTGACTCATGGGTTTTTTTCCCCAGCGTGGGCTGGAAGCACCAAGATTATAGATAGCAACAAGTGGGCCGGAAGGGAGAGAGCAAGGATGATTGGCGCAGAAGGAGTGAAACGCTGCTTCAGAGAAATGACATGATTTCACACAGCACAAAGCCCAGCCGTAGCTCCCAGGTGCTGGCTCCAAACATTCAGCCGCATTTGTTCCTCCCCTTCCCTCTCCCTCTCAATGGCTTGGAAGCGATTGAGACTCTTTTCTTCTTACTTCCTCTTGATACTAGTAAGGCCAGAGCACAGGCAGCCCAGGCCAATGGTTAGGACCTTCAGTGCTAACAGCTAAGAAGGGTACCGACCACAGATGAAGCATCTGCATTCGAGAGACAGGCAGAAACCAGGCCTAGCACGCTGAAACCAAAAAGCGGCTGTTTGACCTTAAATACAGCCCACAGCCAAACAGGCAGGCTGGTTAACAGGCTCCAGCTGCAGCTAACCAGCTCGTCAAAGTGCTTAGTGCCGCACTGATTAACCTCCGCAGCGGAGAGACCGACCTTTACAGTGATGGAGTCAGGCATTGCGAGGAAGAGGCCCAGCTCAAAGGACCTGAGTGATGGCTCCATACACAGGAGAGGCCCGGGCACCCAGGTTTGTTTCCCAGCTCTGCCACTTACTTCCTGTGTGACCTCAGGCAAGTCACTTAATCTGCCTGGATCTCACTTCTCCACCTGCACAAGGGAGGGACACTGCTGGTTTGTAGGGGTGTGAGGCCAACAAATACATGGAAGGATTGTTAGTGCATGGACCTGGGATAATATACACAAACCAGATCAGGATCAGGAGATTAACGATGAAAGATGTTCTTGATTATAAACCCATCTCCTCTTTTGATAGCCAGCCACAGTCCTCGGACGGGTGCTGGGAAGCTTCAGACTATAAACTGCAGCATCTAGGGCCTGCTAATGAACTCCGAGCTACCTGGCGGGGTCGAGCTGAACCATCTGCTCAGGAACTGGATTTCCTGGCAGGGATATGGCAAAACGCCATCTTTCCCCAGAGCACCTCTCAGCTGGGAGATCAGCTCCCCCTCACTTGATTGCCTGAGCATCCTGGAATCGAGATGTCTGGTCCGAGTGCTGGGGGGGGACTGGTGGGTGGATCTGTGGCATGATGCAGTTTAATCCCAGATCTGGCGCGAACAAGAGGACAAAGCAGCCACCAGAGTGATCCAGCCCCCGGCTTCGCGGGCTTCCAACTGTATTGTTATCCTCAGCCGTGCTTTTCAAGTCCTGAAGCTTCCTAGCATTCGGCCACCTCCCCACCTCGTCTTTCTTCGGAGGAGCTGGAATCCCTTAAGCAGCCAAGCTTGACGGCAGCATGGGGAGTGAACGAGGGAGATCGCCGCACTCCCTGCTAAATGCATCCACCTCTGCAGCGGGACACGGCAGCCCTTTAACAGCAAAGAGCAAGGCTCGTGCAACCTTAGGTGGTCACAACAGCCAGCATCTCGGCTTCACTGGTCTTCTCCGGTAGCGCAGGCCCTGCCATCACCAGGACAGGGCATTGGATCAGTTTTCACCAACTGAATCATCAAAGTTCGTGCTTCAGTGGCCTGGGTTTCCCTTGGAGAGGTCTTGTGCCTAAGGAGTTTCCTGGCTGACCCTGTTACGCACATGACCGTTCCCACATCACTGCCCCTCCTGCCTCATGGTTGGCGGCCGCCCTCAGTCCGAGCTTTCCCATTTTCTCCTTTAAACAGTTGCGACAAACATTTGCCACCCATCTGCTGAAGCCCAGGCCTTAAAAGTACAGCTTCCTCCCTCCCCGCCCAGCAGCTCCAGCCAACGCCAGCACTTGCTGTCCAGCATTGTACTGTCCCATTGCTAATTCTTCCAGCTTCAAATAATCGCCCTCTGTCAGCCTGTGACGCTTGTACAAACCTTTTATTCTGACCACAGCCCTATGGCACGTCTCCCCTTTATCAGCCTGGAGGGGAGGCTTTCCAGAAATACATGGCTCTTTTGGGAAGAGGCAACAGTCATTGACATGCATAACTCTCAGGCCACTGGCGTCATGAGGGTCAGGGCACCAGCATTTAGTGCTCTGACTTGTTCAACCCCTCTCAGACGCTCGGGGAATTCATAAAGGGAGGAACCGTTTCCTTTGGCTTCCTTGCAGTCTGGAGATTTGGAACAAGAGGGAAAAAAACCCAGAATTGTTTGGCCTTTGCATCATCACAATAAATCCAGTAGAAGGCACCTATTTATTTATCTCTGAAAATAGGTTTCAGAGATACGGTAAATCGCTGGCAGAATTCACCACTGAACTTTTATCAACTCAAAGGAAACACGTCTGAAAGCACAGCAGAGGATTGTCCGGTCTCAGCTCTTGGTAGGAATATTGCCAAAAGGAAGAACAATATACCGCCACTATCCCCACCTTCTTCTACCCCATGTTATTTCACAGCACCATCTCCCTCCTGGCTATAAAGCAAAGAAAAATGGTCACGGTGTCCTGAGACGTCCTACTGCTTCCTCTGAACAGCACGTCCGGTCACCCAGGTCCTTTCACCCCTTTATATGTTCTTTAAACTAATCTCACTGTATCCTATCCCTGGGGAAGTGGGTAACAGCTCGTTTTACAGACAGGGAAACTGAGGCACTGGAGATCACATCTGTCATCCATTGTTACAGGGGGATTCAGGGCCCCTGGATCCAAGTTTCATGCTCAGGAAGCTGCTCCGGAGCCTTTCCATAAGCTAACTCTGCCAAGACTGAAGGCAGGACTTGCTACTACCACAGAGCCTGGAGGCCAAGGTTTTCATAAGTTTCAAAGAGGGATTGAGCACATGTCTGGATATCAGCAATACTCATTTACCATCACACATTATCACCCCTTGGCAAGGGACAGGAATCCTCCCACATCGGCGTTCAAGCCAGAGCCAACTATAAAGACCCAAGGGCAAGGCCTGATTTGGGAGGCAATTTATTCTTCCGCTTCCCTTGGTAGCAGCTGGGTCTCATCCCTGGTGAAGGCTGGATGCTGAGCCAGGTGGGTTCAATCCAGGCTGGCAGGTCCCGGGTCCCTATTAATTAACTTTGCCCGTGGCCTCAGAGCGGCTGGCTGACAGCGCCTGAGGCTCTACATTAATTTTGCCCACAGGTGGTAGGTTGGAAATCAGTCTGATGTCTGTGGCCTGTGTAAAATGTCTCATGTTCAGTCCAGTTCTGGTTCTGCATCCTCAAAGCCACTGCTACCAGCTGGCAGCGTGGCAGAGACTGAATGGATATACCTAGGGTGGGCCCTTCCACAGCGATGCTGATAGAGGAGGGTGTGCAGACAGCTTGCTCAGAAAGAGAAGATAAAGACTTCAGGATGCTCTAGAGGGGAGGGCAGTTGCCTTGGACTTGGGAGATGGCAGACCAGTTCCTTCTCTCACCGTGATCACCCTGTGTGGTGTTGGCAAGTCACGGAGACCTCATTCCTCCCCTTGCACTGTGGATTATAGCTTCTCCCTGTCTCCCATGATAACCAGTTCATTCAAATGCCCACCTGTGCCTTGATGGGGCCCAGCGTCCACCTCCACAAAGCCTTCCCTGCCCATCAACTTCATCCCACAGATCTGGATGTGAGCCTGCCATCACAGCACACGGCGGTCCTTCCGGCTTTTGTGTCATTCCCTTCTTAGACACGTCCGCGCCTTGCAACAGCCCTAGGTAATAGCTTGTCTGCACGGATACACGTTATTACAGACGGCTGTGGGTCCCGGCTGTCATCTGCTGCATTATGGTCAGTCTGTGCTGTTTCTTTGCTCTGACAGATGCTATCCAAAAATAAATAGGCCTGCACAGTTGCTTCTCATAGGCAGAGAAATTAACCTGCCTGTGTTTCACCATAAAAATATTAGTAAAAACCTGGAGCCTAACCAAATTACTGCCGGTTTCAATTACCTGCAGTGTAATGAAAAAGCCCAAGCTCGGTGCTCAAACTGAGCCCAGAAATGGAAGATGGCTACAGAGCATGATGCTGTTTCCTCTACCACAGCCCTGACTCAGGAAAGGACTTTGGCGCAGGATGAAAATTAAGCATGTTCTGGCCTGAACAGAGAAGTAATTTATGAATTTAGACCTGTATGTAGAAGCCCCTGGCCATCTGTAGATGACACGTTTTAGTGGTGTAACAGGTCTCCCTCCCCAGCACCATCTTCCTGCTCATCCACGCCTTATGTGGGGCACCTTTGGAGCCCTCCTGGAATTCTTCTGTCCCGCCCTAATCTTGCCTGCCACGTCTTGATGGAAATTATTATGTGAGCGGGAGACTGCCTATTCTATTGGGTATGTTGGGGTCTCTCTTAGGATGGCCTGACCCTTTTTTTCTCTAGCTAGGCCTCCCCATCCAAACCCACCAAACAGGGTTTGACTCCAAGGCTCTAGCTTCTCTTTCTAGTGCCTGTAGGCTTGTGGCCCCCTTTTCTGCTCCTTTCTGGAGCATGGCCCTCCCTGGCCCAGAGACATGGGTGCCAGCCCCACAGCAAGGGGGTTGCAAGTTCAAAATCAGGGTGTGACCCTGCCAGTGACAACAAAAGCACAAAAAAACATATATTTGCTTGAACCCCAGGTGCACCCGGCCTTTTTAAGATCATCCCAAACTGGCAATCAGGCTCTCTGCAGCCCTTTCTCACTCTGCACTCGGGTCTGTGCCCCCAAAAGCTGCACCCTCCCTGGTGCTGGGGTTCCCACTCCAAAGTCAGTCCCCAAAAATGAGGCCTCCTCCATCCCCTAATAGCCTCACCTGAACCTCCAGTTAAACAGCAAACAAAACACAAGCCCCTGGGCTATACATAAATTCACGCCTCTTGGCTAAAACATCATTCAAGCCACCCCAAGAGTGCTCCATCTCTCACCAGTATCAGGAGCTGCTCGTGCAGTCAGGCCTCTCCCCTTTGCTCGCACAGGCAGATCTCCTTCCCCTTGGCTGCCAGCAGGGAATTGCCCGCCTGGCCTCAGCCCTGGGGTTGAAAAGCGAGCCAGGCCCTGCCCCTTCCGGTCAGCTGACTGCTGGCAGGTATGGGTCACTAGCTCCCTCTGGTTGCCCTAGCAACCTGCACCTGGGTAGTTGTCCCTGCTCTACAAGTAGCAGGCACCTTAATGCCCTACTACAAGCGGGTATAAAGCAGCTTAAATGCCTTTTGCACCGCTTCAGTGGCATTGCTGTTTGCACATTCGGCGGCGTATTGCACATTAATTCCAGCCGCTGGAGCACATTCGCCGGCATAATGCGTCTTAAATGACTTTGGGGCACAGCAAATGACTTTGGGGTGCTGCAAAGTAAAACACCTCCAAGGAGTTTTAGTTTCCTACTAGAGCTGTGCGAAATTTCACTGGGTGCTTCGTTTCGAAGCTGTTTTGACACATTTCAAGCTTGAAACAGCAAAATCGAAATGAAGCAAAGGGCTCCGAAACAGCTTCGAAACAAAACGAGGGCACTTGAAGTTTTGAGTTTCGAAACCGGGCTTACTTGGCTTCAGTGCCGGTCCCAGGCAGCAGCGGCAGCCTCCTCTCATCCAGTGCACAGATCCAGGGCCTCCCGGGGGTGTGGGCCACCAGATCCGTGCATCAGATGAGAGGAAGCTGCTGCTGCCTAGGACCAGTGACAGCAGCAATCTTCCTCGGCACTGGGTGCAGGCAGTGCCCAGTGCTGGTCCCAGGCAGCAGCAGCAGTCTCCTCTCATCCGGTGCACAGAACCAGGGACCTGCACCCCCGGGGGGAGTCCAGCACAGCCCCGAAGCTCTCCCGGGGGTGCAGACCCCCAGACCTGTGCGCTGGATGAGAGGAGGCTGCTGCTGCTGGCAAGAGTCACGAGTTTTGCTTTGAACAGTTCGGGGTGCAATTTTCCAGAAACCTGTGCACCTATTGTCCTTGAACCTTAGCAGGATTCATGCCCTCAGAAGGGGCTACCATCCCTGCAATTTGCATCCCAATCAGGCAAGAAATGACAAAATTTTAGGCATTTTCATGATTCCCAATTATAGCCTACAGGTGAAACGTCAAAACACGGCAAAACAGCAAAACAGTTTTGGTGAAATAAAATGGAACAGTGCTTCGAAACAAAATGAAACGAAACACTGTCCCTTCAAAATGGTGAAATGGAAGTCAAAACGAAATGGTGCTGTTTCGCACAGCCCTATTTCCTTCCCTACAGCCGCAGAGGGAAGCACCGGGCTCCAGGGGCTGTGCAGGCAGCCTGGCAGCAGCCCGGGAAGGCAGGCTCCACAGAAGGGGGGGAAAAAAGAGCAGCAAGCCTGATCTTTTTTTTTCCCACCCCCCAGGGCCTGCCTGCCTGCTTAAGCTGCCCGGGGGCCTAGTGCTTCC